TCCCGTTACAATTGAGAGAGGTCAATGATTTGGGTAAGGAAGGCAGGCTCTGGAGTCGATTGTTCTGACAATTAAGGAATTTCAAAGTTGCCGGGAGTTGTGGGATTGACGAAATTTGATTTTCCGAACAATTGAAATATTGTAATTTTCCCGGAAGCGTCGGAAGCGATTTAATTTGATTGTTTGGACAAAGGAAAATGTTAAGTGATTGCGGTAAAACGTTTGAGGCTGAGAAAAAATCCGCCAGTTGATTCTGGTTGCATGAAAGCTTCGTTAATGATTGTGGTAAAGCAGGAAGTGATTGAAGTTGGTTATCGTCACATATTAAGTCAACTAATAATGATGGGAGTGGCGGAATTGACGGCAATTTATTCGAAGCGCAATGGAGCGATACTAACCCTGGGGGAAGAGCACTTGGAAGATATGTGAGTTGGTTACCTGAGCAATCCAGTTCTTTCAACGCTATTGGTAGACATTTTGGAGGCCGAAGTAATTCCGTGATACAATTAAAAGCACATGAAAGACTAGTCAAAGATTCCGGTAAAAATGGAAGCGAATGAAGCTGGTTGCGGTCACATATAAACTCATTAAGGGAGAATGGAAGTTGCGGGATCGACGATAACTCATTCCAGCTGCAATTTAAGTGCAATAATCCTGGTGGCAAATTACATGGAAGAGAAGTCAATTTGTTATTTGAGCATACTAATGTTTTCAATCCCGTCGGTAGAGCGGTTTGATGCGAAGGCAACTCGGTTGACTCATTGTTGGGGAGTGAAGTGAGATTATTATCCTTACAGATAAGCTCACTAAGCGATTGAGGGAGCCGTGGAATAGAGGACAACTGATTCCCGGAGCAATTGAGGTGTAGTAACCGGGGAGGAAGCGACTTTGGAAGAACTTCGAGGTAATTATCTCTACAATCTAAATGCGATAGTGACGGCGGAAGGGGGTCTGGAAGAGACGTTAATCGACTGTTCGAAATGACAAGCGAGGTGAGCGAATCCGGTAATATGGGTAGCGATTTCGAGCTATAGCTCTCCTCCCACGCTTGCGACTGCCAACCCCCTGATAATGACGGTAAATTCTTGACTTGACATCCATCGATTGCCATATCTTTCAATGTCGAAGGTAAACCCCCAGAAAATACAATCCGAATAGAAAATCCATGAAATGATAGTAAAGTTTGAAATGATTCAAAGGAGATTATCAAATATTTCGCATCGATGGTTTCATTTCTAATAGTCAAGTTTTGAAGATTATGTAAATTACACCAGTAATCCTGATCAGATATACTTAAAGTATCATTTTCCTCGTGACTAAAAAGCACGGTCAATGAGACAACACTTATCGCCAGACGACTTTTGCATAATTTCTCTGCATTTCTTTGGTCTATCGAAACCCTTTGATATATTCTTTGTTGACAGGGATCCGTGACGCTCGATTGTGTCAGAGACAAGCTTTTGAGATCGGTCACTGACAGGTACACTGTAAGGTGGTGCAATACATCGGGGTAATCGAAAATAGAAGACGAAACATAGCTATCAGTCATACTTATATCTTATGAACTGCTTAGTATTTTGATAGAAATATCTGTAAAGAGGGTTCGGATATATCAGCGGATTTGTTAATGTAATCGTGTTAAATTATAGTCACGCGTTTTAGAAAGCAATACCTTTCCCGCTCCATGAGAGCTGAATCCACGGCTATGACGACGAAAATCTGAAAAACGATTTGACCCATATATATGAATACTGAGTTTCATACTTAACTTGACAACGGTGCCCGGAACTTAGAACATCATTCAGCTCCTTCTACTATATAATTAAAAATTCATTCATCCTTGCAAAATCGGATGTTATTCTGAATTGAATGCAAAAAAAGAATCGCTCCAGGGTGGACTCGAACCACCAACCTTTTGGTAACAGTATTTATACAGTTATTAATAACAGCCAAACGCGCTAACCATTGCGCCACTAGAGCAGTCACGTGTTTTGAAATTTGTCACTTCCATCATATTGAATAGCGGAAACGAAACAAAAGCTAGAGTTGTTGGACTGTGTGAGTACATTCAATAATTCACCACTAAGACTTTGTCCGAATAAAGTTTTGGGGTCGGTTAGAGATTTAGTTGGAGAGCACCTTTCTCATCGTTCCTAGTTGATTTTATAATCAATTGAAGGTTTTGAATATCAATAAACATGCCATGGAAGCCTCCCGTTACAATTGAGAGAGGTCAATGATTTGGGTAAGGAAGGCAGGCTCTGGAGTCGATTGTTCTGACAATTAAGGAATTTCAAAGTTGCCGGGAGTTGTGGGATTGACGAAATTTGATTTTCCGAACAATTGAAATATTGTAATTTTCCCGGAAGCGTCGGAAGCGATTTAATTTGATTGTTTGGACAAAGGAAAATGTTAAGTGATTGCGGTAAAACGTTTGAGGCTGAGAAAAAATCCGCCAGTTGATTCTGGTTGCATGAAAGCTTCGTTAATGATTGTGGTAAAGCAGGAAGTGATTGAAGTTGGTTATCGTCACATATTAAGTCAACTAATAATGATGGGAGTGGCGGAATTGACGGCAATTTATTCGAAGCGCAATGGAGCGATACTAACCCTGGGGGAAGAGCACTTGGAAGATATGTGAGTTGGTTACCTGAGCAATCCAGTTCTTTCAACGCTATTGGTAGACATTTTGGAGGCCGAAGTAATTCCGTGATACAATTAAAAGCACATGAAAGACTAGTCAAAGATTCCGGTAAAAATGGAAGCGAATGAAGCTGGTTGCGGTCACATATAAACTCATTAAGGGAGAATGGAAGTTGCGGGATCGACGATAACTCATTCCAGCTGCAATTTAAGTGCAATAATCCTGGTGGCAAATTACATGGAAGAGAAGTCAATTTGTTATTTGAGCATACTAATGTTTTCAATCCCGTCGGTAGAGCGGTTTGATGCGAAGGCAACTCGGTTGACTCATTGTTGGGGAGTGAAGTGAGATTATTATCCTTACAGATAAGCTCACTAAGCGATTGAGGGAGCCGTGGAATAGAGGACAACTGATTCCCGGAGCAATTGAGGTGTAGTAACCGGGGAGGAAGCGACTTTGGAAGAACTTCGAGGTAATTATCTCTACAATCTAAATGCGATAGTGACGGCGGAAGGGGGTCTGGAAGAGACGTTAATCGACTGTTCGAAATGACAAGCGAGGTGAGCGAATCCGGTAATATGGGTAGCGATTTCGAGCTATAGCTCTCCTCCCACGCTTGCGACTGCCAACCCCCTGATAATGACGGTAAATTCTTGACTTGACATCCATCGATTGCCATATCTTTCAATGTCGAAGGTAAACCCCCAGAAAATACAATCCGAATAGAAAATCCATGAAATGATAGTAAAGTTTGAAATGATTCAAAGGAGATTATCAAATATTTCGCATCGATGGTTTCATTTCTAATAGTCAAGTTTTGAAGATTATGTAAATTACACCAGTAATCCTGATCAGATATACTTAAAGTATCATTTTCCTCGTGACTAAAAAGCACGGTCAATGAGACAACACTTATCGCCAGACGACTTTTGCATAATTTCTCTGCATTTCTTTGGTCTATCGAAACCCTTTGATATATTCTTTGTTGACAGGGATCCGTGACGCTCGATTGTGTCAGAGACAAGCTTTTGAGATCGGTCACTGACAGGTACACTGTAAGGTGGTGCAATACATCGGGGTAATCGAAAATAGAAGACGAAACATAGCTATCAGTCATACTTATATCTTATGAACTGCTTAGTATTTTGATAGAAATATCTGTAAAGAGGGTTCGGATATATCAGCGGATTTGTTAATGTAATCGTGTTAAATTATAGTCACGCGTTTTAGAAAGCAATACCTTTCCCGCTCCATGAGAGCTGAATCCACGGCTATGACGACGAAAATCTGAAAAACGATTTGACCCATATATATGAATACTGAGTTTCATACTTAACTTGACAACGGTGCCCGGAACTTAGAACATCATTCAGCTCCTTCTACTATATAATTAAAAATTCATTCATCCTTGCAAAATCGGATGTTATTCTGAATTGAATGCAAAAAAAGAATCGCTCCAGGGTGGACTCGAACCACCAACCTTTTGGTAACAGTATTTATACAGTTATTAATAACAGCCAAACGCGCTAACCATTGCGCCACTAGAGCAGTCACGTGTTTTGAAATTTGTCACTTCCATCATATTGAATAGCGGAAACGAAACAAAAGCTAGAGTTGTTGGACTGTGTGAGTACATTCAATAATTCACCACTAAGACTTTGTCCGAATAAAGTTTTGGGGTCGGTTAGAGATTTAGTTGGAGAGCACCTTTCTCATCGTTCCTAGTTGATTTTATAATCAATTGAAGGTTTTGAATATCAATAAACATGCCATGGAAGCCCGCCAAGCCCGGTTAACTCAGTCGGTAGAGTGTGCGGCTCTTAACCGCAATGTCGTGGGTTGGAGCCCCACATTGGGCGATCTCCCTTATTGAATTCTACAAGACAAAATTACTTTTGGTTCCTGAACTAGTAGCAGAATAAGACCATAAGTTAGAATGCTTAGTTTATCTACCGGTCATATATCCGGTTGGAAGCTACTGGAAGAACGAAAAAATCCCTGTTACAACGGATTATGATAAACAAGGAATTGAAAGAATCATATTACGAAAATAAAGGAAAATATCTATTAATTTAGTTTTTTTCTCTATATACAGAGTCAGGGACATAATAACATTCCAATCAGTCACGGCTAAAGCATACACGTATTTCATCCTTACCGCGCCCCAAAAAGTACTAAATAATAAGTTAATTTAAAATAACAACGCAAAATTCTTTAAGACATAAATATTGAATTATCTAGTCATATCGTCACACAAGCATTCAAGAAACCCACACTTTCCTCGCTTTTCCGACATTAACATTTCTTTGCGATACTTCTCTCTTTGCGTCACCTCTATTATCAGTTTCTATTTCAATCTTATTACCCCCATTTCGGGATGCATCAAAATCATCGAATCGAAATTGTCCAAAAGAGATGCTACTCCCAAACTCATCCTCTTCTTGATAAGATTTCGGAACAGTAGAGTTCAACGTTGACTGAGGTTTCACGAAAGAACCTGAATTGGAGTAAGGAGAGGAATCCGATTTATTTTTCAAAATTGAAGTAGGTCGAATAGGTGATGGAGCTTGAATCTTTGATGGGGACGTGTAGGTGTAGTTGGTAAACGAGGAGTGTTGAGTCGGGTTGATGGAGGGTGCCGAATCTGAAGGGATTGGGAGAGATCGGTTCAAGATATCGTAGTTTTGAGGGTAACTGGGATCGATATTTTGAGAGATGTGATTTTTAGCCTCCGGATTGTACTCTCTTGGTTTAGATTCTACACTTCTTCCTCGGCTTCGACTGGAACTTGATTGTCGGCGCTGACTTTCGTACTCGCTACCTTGAGATTTTCGTCCTTTGACGTCCCGGCTCATGAGATGATTATATATTTCATTTCCATTTTCGTTACCGACTATTTCTTGTTCTTCGAATCCGGTTACGACAACATTTCGAACATTTTTCTCTTTTTCGACTAACTCTGCAATCTGAGATCTCAGTTTTGAAGTCACAGTATTCACTTTTTCTTTAAACTTGTCCATTTCTTTAGCTGTCGCTTTTTCCTTTTCGTTCCTTTCTTCACTCAACTTCTTGGCGTCAGATATATTCGAATTACGATAAGATTCAAGTTCATCCTGTAAAACCATGATACTAGATTTTAATCCTTCGTTCTTGAGTATCTGGACTTTAAGGTCATTCTGAACTTTAATCACAGTTCCATGTAAATTCTCATTTTCGCGTTCCAAATCTTCCATTCGATTTTGTAAACCGTCTATTTTCTTGTTTAATTTATCAATTTTGATTTCAGATTCCTGTAGCTTCTGAGCACCTTCGTCTCTTTGATTTTTGATGAGTTGTAACTCGGATTTTACGCGACCAAGAGAATCATAAGTCTCGGTTTCGGAGGAAGAAATTTGGTTAATCTTTGACGACAAATTCGATACTTTAGAGTTTAACTCCGATATTGTTAAATCTTTAGTCAACATCATTTCTCGCAATTTTGTTTCCTTGGATACGAATTTCTTAAGTTCATCTTGACTCGACAATAACTCGTTCGTCAATTCTTCCAATTTAATTTGTAATTCCGTCACTCTTTTATCGGTTTTACTGGACGCCTCGACTCGTATTTTGTATTTACTGATCAATTCTTTTTGATCGGTGACTTGAGATGTGAGTAACTTGACTTCAGATTGTAACGAAGAGGCTAAATTTTGGGAATTTACGAACTCAAGAGATTTATCGTGAAGTTGATTCGATAAGTCCGAATTTTGAGATTGAAGATTTTGGAGCTCGGATTTCAGATTGGAGAGAGTCTGATTTAACGTGTTGATCTTGGCGTTACGTTGGTCTAACGTCGCATTAACAGATTCAAGTTGACCCTGGATTTCGTCAAATTCGGATTTCAATTTCGCGTGATCTGATTCCAGATTCGAGAGAGACTCGGATACATTATTGAAGGAATTGGTCGTATCTGTCAATAATTCTTTGACTTTCACCAACTCATTTTGTAAATTTTGAATTTCAGACACCTTTTCTTTTTGTTTTGTTGATGATTCTGCGAGATCGTGATTGAGGGTATCAATATTTGACAACAACTCTGAAATCTGAGACCGAAGAACAGAATTTGTACGATTCAGAGACTGAATTTCAGATAAATGATTTGCCTCGCGATTTCGGAATAGTTGATTGTCATTTGTTAACTTTAGGTTATGCAAACTGATAGATTCGATTTGATTGTTCAAATTGCGAATTTCGGATTCACAAGAGTCAATTGAATCGATATAATTTCTTTCTTTACTCTCCATATCTCTTAATCCATTTTTCAACCCGTCAATTTGAGACCTCAAAACATTCAATTCTTTCACTTCGTTTTCCCTTTTTGCGAGAAGAGTTCTTAAATCAGATATCTCGTCTGATCTAGAAGAAAGGTAATGTTCCAACTCCAAAATTTTAACTTCTAATTTCATTCTTGATTCTTTTTCACTGATCCAGTCTGATTCCCGTTCTTTGGATAACTGGATATACTTCTTCAACTCTGTTTCTCTGCTGTTCACTTTTTCCTGTAAACTCTTACGTTGGGAAGACAACTCCAAGATCACCTTTTCAGATTTTTCTAATCGTTTCTCTGTCTCTGAAAGTGTAGCTTGGAGTTTCGAAACCTGTGAATCGAGCGTTTCCGTCCGATTAGACCAAATCAAGACGTCATCTGCATGTTTCGTTGTTGCGGAGCCCAATTTTTTAGTGAGTGACGTACACTCTGAAGATTTGTCGTACAAAGATTGTTGAAGGTTACGAATATCGTGATCGTGTTGCTGTTGGAGGGTTGAAAGGGTTTCGTCGTGGGATAGTTTAGTTTGGACTAGTTCATTTTGGAGGTCACGAAGTTCTGTTTCGAGTTGAAGAGATTTAGTTCGTTCCTCTTCAAGCATCAATAAGAGGGATCGCGGAGTCTCATAGTACTGATATAATTAGCAGATAATTTCAAAGGAATGTTAGAACTGCGATCAAGCTTCATGCACGAGATAAAACAAAAAAATAACCAGAAGATCCATCATCATACCTTAGCTCTCGCACTTTTCTCACTTTCAAGCAATCTAGTCCAAGCATCCAATTTCTGATGATTCCCTTTCCTTTGTTTCACACCCCCTCCACTCCCAATTTTACCATTCCCTTTCCCCTCTTTATTTCCATCATTCTTTCTATTCCCACCATCAAACCCTACCTCGATACTATTACCACCTCCTCCACTTTGAATCTGACTCTGACTTTGACTCCGATTTTGAACCAACCCTTTCAACTTTTCTTCCCTCTCCATCTCTTTTTTACTTTTCCTCTCCCTCTTTTTCTCTTTTACCTCCTCCAATTCAACTTGTTTCTCAGATCTATGTCTACTCCTCGGACCCCCAAACGGTGAACTCCCGGTATACCCATTATACCTTGATTTCGCGGACACTACCTCATCTTTTTGATACCCCCCATCAACATCTTTCGTGATGTTAGGTGTAGAATTATAAACAGAAGAAGCGTACGAAGTGTTGGGTTGTACTCTAAACGATACGTCGCGGGAGGATGAAGTCGTAGATGATCGGAGTCGTTCTTGTTCTAGTTGTTTGAGACGGTGAGATTTAGAGTGGGTTGTAGACATTGTGGTGAGGGTGTGTTACATAGATTTGAGAGTTGGTAGAGAGTTGGAGTGTTGAGGGGTTTTTGGAAAGAAAGTAGAGGAATATAAATGGATTTTGAGGAATGAAGGAATGGATGAGATTTCGTGTGATGCGCGAAACTGAAAATCTGAAACTTGAATTGGATTAAATGCACCTGATATTTCTCCAAAACTGTTGTAGATTCTATAATTCTTTGTTCAAACCAATATCATACTTTCAGACTATGATAAATAAAAGTTCTAAAATTCATATCAGACAATTCTGACCATTTGTTCAATTCCAATTGATCCACGATTCCACACTAATCAGAACACCCATCACGACGAATGACAATGCCACCCTCAAAAATTGAAATCAAATATCGAAAAAGTTTTCTATTCCAATATCTTGCCATCAATACATAGATACAATGTATAATTAAAGAAGGAAAAAAAACACAATGATCATGTATTAAACAATACCAAATAAACCGAATAAAAAAAATGCATCATTTGTCATATTTACAAGACTCAAAAAACTCTCTACAATATCGTGATCATTATCGATTGCCATTTTGATCAGGTTTAGTTATTACTAGAGTTTAGAGAACGGAGGGTTAAACAATAAACAAATTATGAATTCATTTCTTGGTTTAACACGTCGTTTACTCGTTCTAGTTTTGCTAGGTTTGTCGGTAAATTCTATTCCAAGTTTTTCCAAAAAGATAGAAAAAAAACGGAAATTTGGTTAATCAGAGTCAACGAAAGAAAATATGAAAAAAAAGGGCAATACATACGTTTTCCAACTCTTTTAACAATCCTAAACTCTTTTCCAACTCTTGGACTGTAGTTTGAATATCCGTAAACTTTGACGACTGTTCTTGTTGTTCTTGGTCTGTACACCCATCCAACCAATAGCAAAAGATAT